GCTTACTGATATCCAATTTAGTCAGGCTGTATATATTTGTGCTTATTAGATAAACTATATAAAATATATTTGGTGTTGTTTCTGATATATTACAGATATAATACCCGGTCTGATTTTTGTATGAAATTCAAGAAGCAATTTCTTTAAACACACACTGTTCACGGTAGCTCATTCGGTAGAGCGCTCGCTCAGTGATTGGGAGGTCGTGAGTTCGTATCTCGGCCGCGATGACCCAGTTGATAAAATGGGTAGCAACTGTTCCTTCGCAATGCGCTCGGCACTTTGAAGTGACAGTTACGGGTCCCTCGGATGAGACCTTAAAAACTGAGGTCCCGTGTCAGCGGCAGGCGTTGGCACGATAAAGATCCCTCACTGCTCAATGGCCCTGAGTGCCGAGAAAAGGTCACAATTTGAAGCCCTTCAACGGCATACGGTGACGCCTTCATATGAGCGAAAAATTCTCGAGAGGAACGTTAAACAATATACAATCAATCAATCCTTAAACACACTAAAGTAGGAATTAAGAAATCTTAAGCAAAATTGCATCGATAATTTTCTGAATATGAAATTCACGTTTCATAAATAGGCAGCATGTTTTGTGCTAACTAGGACACCATATTAGTACTCGAACACGGATTTTTATGATTGACAATTTTTGTGCCTTCACACTTAACTCGAACACGTTAAGTTGTTAGTCATAGATTAAAATGTTCTTACAAAATAAAAAGAGAGATGGAAAATAGTGATCTCCTATTTTAATACTTATGTCAATACCCCCAACACAATCGGGCGGGTGAGTACATTTACTAGTATTATGTGTAAATCGAAAGTGACGTAATGTTTATCGAAATCAATGTCGAATGATGGTGTGGTTTTAAATACACTTGGTGTTCTTTTTAAAAAAAAAAATTAATGGGCTAGACAATGCAGGTCTTTCATAGTTCGCGTTTACATCAATTGAACAAAAACAACTTAAAACATAGAATAATTTTATGAAATTAAAAAAAATGTTTATAAGAAAAGAACATTTTGCTTGTTTTGTTATAGTCACTTATCAATAATAACCGTTAAGGAGGCTGGGGGGTCAACAAATTAATCACAAATTAACCACCAGATTTAACTTATTTTTTTTTAGATACGATAACTTAAGCTGTCTACTTTCATTTCACAAAGAAAAAAATTCATACATCTTAGTTTAAAAATTTGATCATTTTTATATATTCATATGGAGCTCTCCTTTAAAAGGAGATAAAAATAGTCTGAAAATGGCTGCCACACCCCAGCCTCGTTAAAATAAGACACAAAAAGGAATCCACAGATACCCATCGATTTTCTACTAGGAGCTCTGGACAGTGACGATGATGATCAGATGACGACTGATGAATGAATCAAATCTCACCAAGACCGACTAAAATACGCGTTCGACAAAGCCAGTGATCATACATCTCTGATGGCCAAAAACAGGAAGTCGACTTATGACAGAAAAGCCCGTGACCCGGATTTGAATATTGATGACAAAGTGTATATTCGAAACCGACACATCCGCGACAGAAACAAAATCCAAGATTCATGGGACTCTTCTGTGTATCGTGTTGTGAATATATCAGGAAATGTCGTTAGTGTTTTTTCAGACCATGATGTGTGAAGAGATGTGTTTCCTAAATAACCCTATTCCTTATGCAAAAACTTGATGTTCATATGTATATTTTTCTGGAGAGTATGTGACTATTATTGAAAAATGTATTTTGATAGAATTTATATTTTTCATTTATCGAGACGCTAAATTTAAAGCTCGGGAGTATGTGGCAGACTGACATTTATTTAAAATAATTTTTTATCTTTATTGAATAACTTGCTAAGCCATAATTTACCTTATGCCATATTTGGTAATAGTCTCCATTCTACTCCTAAAATCTCATTGGCAAGTAAATTTTAACCCCCTTGCTTAACCGTTTTTTTTTTTTGCAATATATATACTGAGGCATGGGCCCATCCCTGTCAGTGCGGGAAATTTAAATTACTTATTCCCAGCTGCCCGTTGTCACCACTTGAAAGGTACTTTTCTTAGTCTATAAAATTTTTGTATTTTATTTATTAAGTCCAAGTTAAAATTTCAAGTATTTTTCATATTTTTGAAATAAAAGTTTTTTAAAACTATGAAATTGACGTTTTGGGGATAGTACACTTAAGGTAGTCCGATCCTCAGGTTTATAAAATTAGCAGTTAAATAATCAAAAGTACTCATAAAAGTATCTCTGAATCCACAAGGTTGTGTAAATTTATCCACAAGATTTCTTAAAAGTTAAAATTTAAAGTTAATCATATTATATAGGGAAAAATGTCAAATCTCCAATATTTTTGCAGAAAAAGCGAATTGGAATATCAGCCATGCATTTTCTAATTGCAAATTGATCAACTAATATATTTCGGGTTAAGAAAGGATAGGTATCCAGGCATTCAGAAAAATTGCCATGATTTTTATACTTATTGGGTATTTTTGTCTTCTATTTCTGTCATATATTCTATAATACATAGTGTAAAAGGCTTTTGCTAACATTGCAAGACACCACAAATCACTCTTTAAAACATATCATGCTAATAAGCATTGGTATCTAAGGCTGGATTCCAGACAATCTTATTTCTCTAAAACTGTATACAAATTTTCCCTTTATAGGGTGTAAAAGTCAACTTTTATAAGACCTTTTCTAAGACTTCCAAAAACCTTGAATCTTATAAAGATGAATAAAATGAAAATCGTTGCTTGAAAAAAATTCACTTTCAAGCTTCATTTTGATGCATTTCAAATAAAATATAAATTTTTGGAGTTATCCTTCCTGGCTGAGGATCGGATATCCTTAAATTTTCTTATTTTTGAAGTGAATTGGAAATAAAAGTATTTTGTCTCAGTGTCTATGTGTATAATAATATTGTATATATGTTTTTTTTATTTGTAGATCTGCCATTGCTTTTTCATTTCCTAATAAATTTATAAACTGAACCTTGCGTTTTCCTTATCCGATTGGTTATACGTATAAAACTAGATCATCATGCATTAAACAATATGTACATTATAAGAGTATTCCTTATCATATATGACACCTGATCTAATTTCTGAGGTGTTAGTGGGTCATGATTGCTTTGTTACTGATTGGTATTGATTGAATTGACTAGATAAAAATGTTGATAATGGTCAGTAATCGTGCTCAAAGGACCATTGAAATATTCACTACTAAGTCAAAAATGTACTGACATTCCCATTTTTTACTGACAAACTTAGAAAATTACTGACAATGTGCTGTCGTTACTGTAAAGCGTTAATCAATATGTCTCCCAGTACTATACGTTCATCGTGATGTTTTCTTGTAAGGCTGCTGTTAATGTCTTGTTAAATAATTTTGGTTGCCAAAAAATTGCTTTGTTCTAGAAACTGTTTGTTTGTAGTACAAAAAAATATCAACTTTCAAATCATATTCTGAATTATTTTACAGATATCAATAATATTTAGATTTAAAAAAAGATAAATGCCTGGAATTTTGTTTCATCAAAAAATAAAATAAGACTGTTTTAAATGCAAAGTATAATACACGGTCATTTTCACACCACTGCAGCCTCCCCGAGAGCGAGAACAATAGGGACAGTAATTATCAGTAAATGTCAGCACTTGTCTAAGTTTTTCAGCAGGGACAGTAAACGGGTCAGTAATTGTCTAAGTTTTTCAGCACCGACTAAGATTCTCAGCACTTTTCTAAGTTTATCAGTACCGGCAGTAAAAAGGTCAGTAATTGTCTAAGTTTTTCAGTAACGACAGCACATTGTCAGTAATTTTCTAAGTTTGTCAGTAAAAAATGGGAATGTCAGTACGTTTTTGACTTAGTAGTGATTACAAATATGAAGAAAAAAAAACATGGACCACACAAAACAGGTGGGATGAGGCGCCATGGAGAAGAAAGCATCTCCTGTTGGCTGGTTACACACACCATATACCACTTGTCATGATAGGACAAACAGATAAAACATTTAATCCAGAGTGTGAATAATTACCAATCAATTAGAATAAAAAATCGTAAGTCCTCATTCAATTAAATTAGGGGTTGTATTTGCTCGTAAGATCTTTGTATCGGCCAAAGAATTTGCAAAATATTGACCTTAAACGAGAAAGTTGATATTTTTTTGTACTACAAACAAACAGTTTCTAGAACAAAGCAATTTTTTGGCAACCAAAATTATTTAACAAGACATTAACAGCAGCCTTACAAGAAAACATCACGATGAACGTATAGTACTGGGAGACATATTGATTAACGCTATGTACAGATGATAGAAATATATAGTTACATAAATAGGGGAAGTTGATGATTGAAAAGTTTAAGTCATCACGCGCACATTCGTCGTGAAGTTTTGTTGTAAGGTTACCTTAAATGTCTTTTTCTAGTAAAATAATGCGTCGTATCTTTTATTTATAGATACACGGAGATTTGCAAGTTTATTTGGTTTGAGCTTAAACATCTTGCAGGGAGGAGTTTAAACTTTGCACCGCCTAATGTTCATTTTCAACCCTTAAATTTTCATTTCAATTAAAGACTGTATGTTATTCCTCTGTGGTGTTGAACGAAGATGGTCGACAAAATATCTGTAGTAAACACCCCCGTATTTCAATCTTTGGTGATTAACATATTTGTTTACCTATTCAGGACAATACCTTTTAGACAGAGCACAAGGGGTTGCATATGGTCTATTTTCTAATTGTCTGTGCACTTTCTTTTCCTTGCCATCGATATCGATCATATCATTTCAAGATTGTTTTAACAGTTACTATACCTCTACCATGAGTTATACAACAAGGCCACTAGTGAATTTTTCTTGAATAACAACATTGGTAACTGTTTCCATACAACAGTAGGAGTTTTTTTTTAAAATGCATACATAGAAATAATAATGGTACGAAATTTTAGCATTGTTTTCCAACAGGGACCACATAAAAATAGATTTACAAGGATATCTATCTTGTTCAGAAATATTTATTAAAACTAGAAATCAATAGAATACAAATATATATAAAATAGCTACTTTATGAAATGAAATAACAATGTCTATTTTATGAACTTTGCTTATAATTGACGCTTTATAATGGTATAATATTTAATCATCCATAGCTTTGTCATTATCTCGTCATAATAATATTCTATTGAATGAATTATCCCTTTCCATTCTTCATTAATCTGCATCTGTAGAGAAAAACAAAATATTAAAGAAAGATCAACAAGGAAAAGAAATCTTTATTTTTGACTCCTCGTACCTGCGATTTCAGATTATAAAACAAATTAAATCTAGAAAATATCAAAAAAAGACATTGTATAGCAAATATTTAGACAATGTATGTTTACCTAGTGACGCCTGATCATCATCGTGGTCCCCATCACTGATGTCCCACTCAATATAGTAGGCGGCCAAGGAAGAAACCAGAACTCCGGGGACCAGGGACCGTTAAGAAAGGTTTGGAAACAAGAGTTTAACCACCATCCTACTCCCAAGACACCAGCACAGTTTATATAAACATTCCTGTCATTTTGTCTGTCCGGGGTGGAGAAGTACATTCCAGAAAGATCCCACTGAGAATGACCAGTGTCTAACATAGCGTCACCTGTAGAAGTAAAAAAAAATATCTATAAAATTTGACTCAGCTCAAGGTATTTTTTTGTCAATATTTATGATAATTAAAATGAACCGAGTCCATCGGCGTTTCATTAACTTATTTACAGTTATTAAAATAATTAATACATACCCAACTCAAAATGTCTAATAAGACGCATAAACTTCGAAATAATTTAAATGTATTTTTATAAAAACAATGTTCCCATACCTGATTTAAATAGTCTACAAATATAAATACTTTAAAATGACGTTCATAATATAAAATTTTCTATGTTTCTCCTGCTATGTCTACTATTTTTTTCTACAACATATCCAGATAATTGTTACACAGGCTCTAACTATAGCTTATTAAGCCTAATGACACCAAAGAGAGTTTAAACCTATAATGATGAAAATTTGTTTATGGTAAGGAATATGACGTATATAAAAAGGACCATTAAACTAGCAAGGGAGAGGGACAAGAACCCTTTCGAAAAAGATAAACATGTCTTATTTATAAAAATATAATTTCTCCTGCTTATTTCCCCCTTTACTCTCACATTCTATCTCCCGTTCTTTGTATCACTAGTCACACCATTACTTATCACTTACCCAAAGTGCCGGTAGCTGGTCCTCCAAGAAAAAGTCTGTACTTGTCCGTTTCATCAGACACAGAAAACTGATGATAGAGTTCGTATAAAGTTGTGCCATTTTTCAATGTTATAAAGACGTATAGGGATGAGTTTCTTCCCTTGGTAAGCTGATGAATGACGTCATTTCCTTCAATATTTTAATTTAACGAGTTTATTAGGTTTTGTAAATATAAATGAAATCGTAAATCAATTCATATGAATTAACAAGATATTTATTGCAAAAAATGAAAAAAATGCAAAAAATGTATTTGTAAAAACAAATCATTTTCCGTAGAACATACGCAAAGGCATACAAAGCAAACTATGCTTAAGATACTGATATTGTTAATTAAATAATAGTAAACATTTACCAATCCAGTAAGAGTCACTAGCGTTACCAAATCCATTCTTGTACTCCGCCCACGTTCTGTTAAAACTCACGGATCCACTGACCCTTTTCTGGATTGCCTACAAGTTATCAACAGAAAATAAATATATGGTAGTTTTTGTTGCGTTTTTCTGTTTTGTTTACTTGAAATTTCAATTAAATAGAGAGAGAGAGAGAGAGAGAGAGAGAGAGAGAGAGAGAGAGAGAGAATCTTACTGTCCATCCTCCGCCCTCGGTTTCCATGTCACAATACACTCTGACCTGGGACTCGTTATGAAAGGGATACACTACATAGACACCGGACTGTTTTTGTCCTTGTTCATAGTGGTCCTTACAGTCCTTATTTAGCTTTGAACCTAGAAAAAAAATGACACACAACAATAATAATGATTAGAATACCGAGATAAAGAAATAAAGATATATTTTTTCTGAACGGTTTGCAATGTTCTGTTATTTGTAAATTCGTATATCTCGGCGAAAGAAAGAAAGATATATAATGTAAGAGAGAGAGAAATATATATATATATATAGAGAGAGAGAGAGAGAGAGAGAGAGAGAGAGAGAGAGAGAGAGAGAGAGAGAGAGAGAATACCTTTCTGAATGGTTTGCAATGTTCTGTTATTTGTAAATTCGTAAATCTCGGCGATTTTCTTGATGTCACGTTTTCCGTTGATCAGAGCTGCAGAGTTTGGATCCTTAGTACCAGTTAACAAAGAAGCTGCCCTGACTTGTGATGTAGACAAGAAAAGCAGTAGAAGAATTAAAAACATCTTTCTTTAAATTCCTAAGTGAACTTACCAAACAAAAGAATATTGTGCATTAATGAAATATCTAACACGGTATATATAGAGACATTGCGGGATTTCCTCAATCAAATGATGTCATACGGTTTATAAAGAGACATTTAGGGATTCCCTCAATCAAATGACCTCATACGGTGTATATAGTGATGTCTGGAGATTTCATGAAATTAGCGGGACGTAAAAACCAAAGTAAGAGAGAGAGAGAGAGAGAGAGAGAGAGAGAGAGAGAGAGAGAGAGAGAGAGAGAGAGAGAGAGAGAGAGAGAGAGGGAGATCTAATGAGCAAGCTTGGTTTCGTTTTAATAAACACATAATGTAAGCAATGTAAATTGTTAGATATGATGATATTAAATATTAAACTGTATTTGGGAATTTTATGATTTTTTCCCTAACGACTTTTCTTTTATTAATATTCAATCTAAAAGTAGGATATCATACACACAAGGTATTTCTATTACTTTTTCTTTAATGCTACACATTGTTTAAGTTTAAAAAGGACATCCTTTAAGTAATTAATTGCATAACTGACTTATTTGCCTTGACATACGCATTTTTTTTTTTGAAAATGCTGAAAAAAAGGTTTAAAGATGATCACGGACAGAAAATTATTCTACATGGAAACATTACGTTATTTAAAAATAAATAAAAGCCATAAAACGGAAAATACATATAAACTGATAGAAAAATCTGGAATATTTATAAAGCTCTGACGTCTGAAAACTAAGAAACAGAGCGGAACCGTACGGAAGTAATAGTAAACGTAAACAAACAGGAGGAAAAATTCAATGAAAAATCCAAGGTTATGTATATTTTCTGTCGTGAGAGAGATTTATGTATAGAAGTATAAAGAATTTCCCCTGACTTAATCATTCAACCATTCCCTGTATTTGCTTCTGATTATCACCGACATAACGATGATATGAAAACAAGGCACAAATTATTTTGATTAGTAAGAAATTATGTGTAAAGCGTTTTAAAGTGGTAGGTAAAATAATTCATAATGCATTGTGTGTTAATCAGTACACATGTAACAACACTAAATGTTTGTTTAGTTATTTGATGACTTATTACTTATTTGATGACACGAATTTATTCCTAATTTTAATTTTCAAGTTATTTATTTGAGATATCTGAAATTAAAATCCATGATTGTTACTATCACTTATTTTTGAAGACAATTGCCGAAAGCAAATGTTCGTTCTAAATAAATAGATAATACACTATTAAATTACATATAAAATCATGAGTAACGTTTATGCAAAACTTTCAAATGCCATAAGTTGTGAAAAGTCCCGAAGTATTTAAAACAAAAATGCAGGTAAAAAAGGCTTATAATATAACGAATAAAACGATGGCGACATTGACATTGAAAGAGGCTACAACCACTACCATATAAGGGTGTTTCTTATTTGTAGATTAGAAGAATGAAGAAACAATAGAAAATACCAACTAACATTTTCAATAAAGAGAATGCGCTGCTTAATTTTACCAAATGAATTTAATTGCAAATTCAATGTACATGTATAATGAGAACTCGCTATCTGTCTTTTAAACTGCACCTTGGGCGATTTGTTTTATTCATACAGTCTTAATACGAAGATTGTTATTTGAACTTTAATTACGTATTACTAATTAAAAAAATAACCGCATTTTTCAAGTTAATGAAACTATCTTGAATTTATATTCAAAAATGGACAAGATCTTTTTAGTGTATGCCCTTGCGAAAAAACTATTTAATGAGGCATCTCAATGTAAAATACATGTATACCTGACCCGTACATAAGTACACGACAAAATTAATTAAATACATTCGATAGTTAATGAAGAATCGCAATAAACAAATGATATACATTGGTATTAATCGCCAATTTAAAACCCCTGTAAATTATATTTTGCTTAATTATTAAATGCATTTTTCATTCTTCAAACAATTCCCCAATCTGCCTCTAACAGCACATGAAATGCGTCATTTTCACCTAAATGACCTCATGTTCACAAGTTCATGACAATCATTGATTTGTTTATAACTAGCTGTTTGGGATTTAACTAGCAACTTTTTAATGCACTGATAAGGTTCATTGATGTTTATAATACTTATACAATTTAAAGTTGTTTTCTGGTTTTATAAGAAATATATAAAATTCATATTCTGTGTGACGTCAAAGTAAACTTTTCTCGTATAAATTAGGCCCATTCCCTTTTTTCAGACATAACAATGGTACTCATTTTTGAAATTTAAAAATAAAAAAAAGTAATATCATTGAAGCAATGAACTTAGAGTCAATTAATTTAACATATGCAAATATATTTTTTTTTCAAATAATAGAAAAAGATTTGAAGATGACCACAGGTAGAAAATTACTCTTAATTTTTATTTTTTTTTTTAAACAGGTGGCTCCCATCAGCCACGTACCTCCGATCACTTGACTCTACACTAATTTAGTGTTTCGGCGGTGTGAAACGAGGTATATTTTTATAAATTGATTTATGATGAAGAAATAATTTTCTTCATATTGCTGCAAATCCGCCTCATCAGGAGTTTATTTGCATTATGCATTTATGCATCTACACATAATATTAAATTAAATTATTTAATTGTTGGGGAGGTGAGAATATCAGTTTTTATTGCGTTTGTAGGACACAATAGGTAATTCTGAGAAGACTTTTTTTTACAGTCTTCATCCTTTGTAAGGATGTGCCAATATTTTATCAGTTTTCTTTTTAAATGTCGTATACAGGGGTTGTATTTTGTGACAAAAACAAGAGGAATTCCTTTTTTCTTGATGTCATTTTTACTTTTTAGGGTTTTCTCTCTGCTATAATTAGCGAGTACATTTTGCATGTTAGATTTGATTTCAATTTTATCGTATCCTCTTTTTAAGAGATTAACCTCAAACTCACGCAGAATTTCAAGCAAAGTTATTTCATTGCTTGTATTTCTCATATGGCGTATTGTTTGACCTTTGATGAATCCTTTAAAAACAGAGGAATTATGTGCACTATTCCGTTCCAAATATTGGAATGTGTTAGTTGGTTTAATGTAGGTTTTAAAATCCAGAATTTGATTGGTTTTAAATCTTTTTCCTTTGAACACTGTAGTGTCTAAGAAATTGATTTCTTGTGTGGAAATTTCATATGTGAATTTGAGTAGAGGATGGTGTGAATTGGCTATTTCAAATAGTTCATGGATGAAAGCTTCCGATCCGTGAAAAATGATAAACCCGTCGTCGCGATAGCGACCATGATATATTAAATCATTCTTCCCTGTAAATTTATCGATGATTTCATCTGTTATTTGGTGAAGGCGAATGTCGCACACAGATGGGGAACACTTAGAACCCATTGCACATCCTATTGTTTGTTTATACATAGCAGAGTTAGACTCGAATATATTGTTTTCTAGTACAAGTCGTAAAAGAAAACAAAGATCAGCTGTAGGCGGATCTGGTATAGTATATTCTGCTTTGCTGAAGTTGGTATAGGCTATTTAAACAGCCGTAATTAGCTCCTCGAATTGCATATTTGTGTAGAGTGAAGTTACATCATAACTGACCAATAGGCATTTTGGCTGTGGTCTGAGTTGTTCAACTTTTAGAATGAAGTCTGAACTGTCCCTAATATACGTGCTTAGTGTTTGCACGATGGGAGTCAAAAAGTAATCTACATACTGCCTAATGCGTTCTGTAGGTGAACCTATGTGTGAGATTATAGGTCGACCTGGTGGAATAATTGGTGAATTGCAGCTACCATTGTTTTTAATTTCATTAAAAGTCTCAATGTTGAGCTTGTGTATTTTAGGGAGCAAATATCATCTCCCTACCCTCGTATTTTTAACTTTCCGTAGAAAGTCATAGGTAATGTTGTCAAGTACACCCTTAGTGTTCATCTCACACAGTTTTTGTGTGATACTATCTTTGAGATGATTTAGTTTGGGATTAGTAATTTTACAGTAGTATTTGCTATTTAACTGACGTTCACCTTCAAGGATATAATCAGTTTTTCTAGTAGCAACGCACATGTTGTTTTTGTCAGCTTTTTTGATAATGATGTCTTTACGATCTTTTAGCCTTTTTAATGCTCGGCGTTCAGAAGTGCTTAAATTGTCAGATGATTTGCGAACCTCCATAGATGACAATTCAAGTCTTGTTTTGTCAATATATGTTTGAACTGAATTGTTCATAATTTGCGGTTCAAAACCGCTTTTCATGCGGAAAGGATGTATATCATTGTCACAATCTGGATCACCGCCGAAACACTATACGACATTTAAAAAGAAAACTGATAAAATATTGGCACATCCTTACAAAGGATGAAGACTGTAAAAAAGTCTTCTCAGAATTACCTATTGTGTCCTACAAACGCAATAAAAACTTAGGTGATATTCTCACCTCCCCAACAAATAAATAATTTAATTTAATATTATGTGTAGATGCATAAATGCATAATGCAAATAAACTCCTGATGAGGCGGATTTGCAGCAATATGAAGAAAATTATTTCTTCATCATAAATCAATTTATAAAAATATACCTCGTTTCACACCGCCGAAACACTAAATTAGTGTAGAGTCAAGTGATCGGAGGTACGTGGCTGATGGGAGCCACCTGTTAAAAAAAAAAATAAAAAAAAATAAACATTGATGAAAAATCAATAATTTTCTAAGGTCTCACGTCTGAAAATTAAGAAATAGAGAGAAAATAGAAGAAGGAAGAATGACAGTAAATAGACAAGTGGAAAAATCCCAGATGATATCCTTATTTTCTAACGATTGTCATGTCGTGGAAGAGAGAGATGATATGAACAGAACAAAAAAGGTCTGTGGAAAATTTTGGGAAAAGAGAATATCCGCTAACTGAACGATTTAAAAATTTTCTCTGTCTGTTCTTTATTATCTACAAAAGAAATATTTTCATGAAATAAATAATTAAACGGAGATTTTTTGATAAAATAAAATGCGCGTCAATAAGCTAAATCAAAATTCTAATATGTTTGGTGTAAATCAGTACTTGTAACAAATATGAATGTTGAGGTAAAGTTATATTTATCAGATGAAGCGCATGTATCTCTAATTTTGACAAATCATGTAAGTTTTTAAAATTCACCGAAATTAAAATCATTGTACTAGTTCACTTTTGAAGACGACTGCTGAATGAATTACACGAGGACTCCCATGCCAATTCAATAGGCATCGCCCACTGACGTCAAACACAAAGACAGCCACACGAGAGTTACATGCATATTTGTCCTCCTCCCTAGCGCCAGACATAGAGGCAGACGCGCACGAGATTTATATGAATAATAGGCCTCCTTAGGTCCTGACCTATCTATTTGCCTAATTTGCATTCCGGGAGAGTTATCAAGATATCAACTCCATTAATTTTCAAAGAGTTATCACAGAAAAAAATAGAAATGGAAATTTTGTCGCGTCACTGAATAATATAATAGTAAGGTTAAGACAATGGATTTGTTAATGTATTTAAGTTCAAATGTCAAGGGTCAATGCTGTAAAATAATTTTTTTGGATGAAGGATATGGAGATAACGAACAGTATTCAATCTCAACGTCCATTAAACAATATACAAAATAAGAGCAGAGCAAACACGGTCCTCCGAAACATCAGAGGTGGGATCAGGTGCCATGGAGGAGTGAGCATCCCCTGCCGACTGGTCACACCCGCCGTGTGCTCGTTGTCATGATCAGGAAATAACGGAAAAAATCCGTCGTCAATTCAGTGTATAAATAATGGACAATTGGTATGAAAAACAACAATCAGCATTTGACTCAATGATAAATTGTATTTGCTGACAAGGTCATTGTATCGACCATAGAATTTACGAAATGATGACTTTAAATGAGACTGTTGATATTCTTGTTTCATCAACTTGCTTGTCAATAATTTACCTCGTTTAAGAAATTGTTCATACGCAGAGAACGCTCTTGCGTATCGAATCAACTGAGATATGTATACTCCGTATGCAGGTATATTGCTGCATAAGTAAGGGAAGTTGACGATATGGAAGTTAAAGGCATCACGTTTATCATATAGCTTGGTTGTTAGATTACCATTAGTGTCTTTTTCAAGTAAAATATCCAAGTATGAAGCAGAAGTGTCGGACTCTGTGGTATCTTATATTTTTTAAAATTTTGATAGTACAGAGAAAAACTACATGAGGAAAACTGTACACTATTTCATGCTTGGATATTTTACTTGAAAAAGACAATCAATAAAAGTAATCAAACAGCCTATCTCAATTGTAAACGTGATGACTAACTTTTCTATCGTCAACTTCCCTTACGTATGCAACAATATACCTTAATCAACTACATACGGATTTTACATTTCTCAGTTGATTCAATACAAAAGAGCATGCCCTACGTATGAACAATTTCAAAAACGAAGTAAATTATTTATTATGGAGTCAAATACTGCCTGAGTTTTTTTCGTACACATTGGTAGTTTATTAGTCCATTATTTATACACTGAATTGACGACGAATTTTACTGTTATTTTCCAAACATGACAAGGAAAACACAAGGGTGTGACCGGTAGGCAGGGAATGCTCACTCCTCAATGGCACCTGAACCAACCTCTAATGTTTTTAAAGTCTGTGTTTGCTTTACCTCCATATTTTTCATTTTTTAACCTCCTAAACTTTGTTTTAGTTTAAAAATAATTGACAGTTATTTGACCAGTTCAGAATAAGAATAAAAAACGGATAAGGCGGTGCTATAGATATATGAGGCATTATTTCAAAATCTAAGTTTTCTGTCAAGGTAGTTCAATAAATTTTGGTATTAAATATTGTTTCAGTAAAGTTTACCCCCCCCCCCCCAAAAAAAAAAAAAACAAACAGAAAAAACCCAATTATTTCGCAAGCTAACACAGGTGTTCATTTTAGCGTTGAATTAAATGTCGACAAGTTCCGAATACCCTAGTGGTACCCATTTAATTCAACCATAAATTGAAAAATATACGCCCTACGCATTATCCATTGGCATGCTTAAGAAAAGTTAAATAAATTGCTTACCAATAAATTATTTGATTTCCAAAGGATAAAGAGAAACTAGGGGAACTACAAGCACTGATCTCACTTCAATGATACCCCACGCCTCCTTTATGATTTTTATGACTAAGTCCATATTTTCCGAAATAAGTGTCATTAAGAGGTTACACATACAATGGCAAAATGTAATAAAGAATCTATGAAAGTATCATTAAATGTTTTTCAGTGGAATGGTGGAATTGGGGATAAGAGATAAACCCTTCAATATTGGAAAGAATGGCAGTATTCGTGTTGTGCTAAGGGAACCCAAATTATGTGCCAGATCAATTAAATAAAGTAGAATGTGTACTTTGGCACCATTTTAAAAAGATTCTGTGAAAATCTTATCAAATTCTGAGAAGCCTGATTAAATTCCATTCAGTCGTAGAAGAAGAGTTGTAGATAGGAAACAGGTACCCAAAGGCGTTTAAGACGGACGGACGTACAGATTTCAAAGCATTAATTTATTCTCAGACTATTTTTACATCCCCCCCGTACCCGTGACCGGTGGGCCCTGAAATTTTGCTAGATGCACCTTTCTTCATCATAAATATATATACTTAGATCATTGACATAATACTCAGGAGCAAAGGAAAAGATTTTCAGACAAATCATTCATTTTCAATATATATCATTTGAACACCGCCCTTGCAGAGAACCCCTCCCTGACCCTGAGGCTTTTCTTGGCTTGATTATGTGAAGATTTTTTAAGACTGCATTAATTTTGGTAGTTTAAGCCCCACCCATCAGGCCACACGGGACAGGTACCAAGAATGTTTCATTTTTTCAATTCTTTATCCAAAGATCTCGTATAAAATTTGGCTGATACACATGTATTGGTTCAAAGGTTCCAGACAAGAAACTAAAAAAATGTTCAAAAGTTTACGAGTGACGTACGACTGACGACGTACGACGACGGACGAAAACCGATAGCAATATGTCACCTGAGTTTTTTTAAAAGAAGTTTTACAATGTAACATTTCTTATTGTAAATATCTGTCAAGTTTTCTTCATGTTTCAGAGAGAATTTTTTTGTATTCTAAGTTTATTTTAAATACATGCATACACAACTATAATGATACTAAATTTCAGCATTATTGTCCAGCAGGGACCACAGAAAGATACACATTTACAAAGATGTCTATATTATTCAAAAAACATTTATTAAAACTAAGCAAAATAGAGCATAAATACATATACATTTATAAATAAAGGCGAAAAATGTCTGTTTATGATTTTTGACAGGTTACTGACACGTTATAACCGTATTCTATTGAATTATCTATTGCTTTTTTGATTCCTAATACTAATATTCTCTTCAATTATCCACTCATTTCTTTTCTTTATTAATCAGCATCTGTAGAGAAAACAAATTAAAACAGTAGAGAAAAACAATATGAGAGAAAGATCATTATACCCTTCATTCTGATTTATCATAACAGCGTTTTCAATGTATTAATGAAACAAAATTAAGTGTAAATTAATTTTTCTAAAAAGCAGAAATTAATAAGAATGACAGATGTTTACCTAAAAATGCTTGATTAACATCATCGTCTCCCTTATATATGATCCACTCATTGTTTCAGGGTACCATGGGTTGCGCCAGAACTCCAGAGACCACGGACCGTTAAGGAAGGCGTGGTGACAGGAGTTAAACCACCAACCTCCTCCCCATTTAACAGCACAGTTATTTCTAGACATGTCGTTATCTCTGTCGTGGGTGGAGAATGGCAACCCTGACAGAACAGCGCGAGAAATATTGGTGTCTAACATATTGTCACCTGTAGAGGTAAAGAAATAAATCACAGGGATAAGACCATCCTAGACAGATCGTAGTAATTTGGATAATAAGTGTCTAACATACTGTCACCTATCAATGTGAAAAAAGAGTATATATATTAAAAAACATAATTTAGTCATACTTAAAACGATTAAGGTTAATTACACATACCCAAAACAAGATTTTGTAGAAATTACATGAACTTTGAAATTATTCAAAAAAAGATGTTAAACAAGTTACATGGTCTCTAAAATGATTCAAATGAATTGTTCACACCTTAAACAGGGTGAAAACAAGTGAAATGAACTGAAAAAACATTATATCACATGTTATGTAAATTGTCATCATAAATATCACAATATCACTTGACCCAAAGCAATATTTTCCTAGTTATAGCGAAATTGTCAACATATATGAATACATCAAAATGACGTTCATAAAAAAAATCAATCTATCTAATGTTAACTCTCTCTCTCTCTCTCTCTCTCTCTCTCTCTCTCTCTCTCTCTCTCTCTCTCTCTCTCTCTTGATCGATCTGTTATCCATATCTAAAGCTTGTTATATATCTACACTTTCATTTTTTATTCTCTGACATTTGTTTATTAAGCATAAAGACACCACATAGAAGTAAATGATACAATTTTTTTTAAAGAGTCTTAGTATACAAATTAGATTGGCTAAAAGATAATCAAAGTAATTATTGTAAATAATGACCTTTATGTGACATGTCTTGTATATATCTATATATTAAGTTATTGTTTAACAATGTCTCTTTTGTAAATAGATTTATACCATGCAGCAACCAGGTTGTACTTATGTAACTTGGTTTACCGCTTTCTTGGCTATTTTCAACAAATCAGCAGAGCGCTTTGTCGTCATTACATGTTCATTGTTTATCTTTTTACCAGAAGGGAAAGTCACAACATTTGCGCAGCTCAATTTTTTTTTTTCGAACCTAACATCCATTACCGTCTTATACCATTGTGTTTTATTTTCATTTATGATAGCAGGCAGCAATTTAGCGCTTTTTTATGTATGTTTAGAATTTGTTATATTTAGTAGGGAGTCAACTGAAGATATATGTCTTCTATACATGGCGATGTTTTTTCCATGCTTTGAATTCTTAATTAGTCAGCTGGTTGATCCCTTTTTGGATATATACAGTGTATATCATTTATAAGGACATTGTAGTAATTTCGTGAGAAGTACCTCGCGATTTAAAATTACTCTCTTTTATTTTTTATGGCGCTGAAGTCAATGTACAATCTTTAGTTTAACCGTCCATTCGCGAATTATTATTTTTCGCGTGTTGATGCTGAAGAGACCTTTCCCGATAAGTCCTCGCAAAAATAAGGAATCTACAGTATTGCAAATATGTTTTACTACTTTTACGTCATTTACTTCAATAAATGACATTTTTTCACTTCAACAATGTTGTCTGTTTTTGTCTGCTTTAACAAACAAGAGACCCATGGGCCACATCGCTCACCTGAGAAGATATGACCATTCTGTTCTTTACTAGATTTCCCCCTTGTTATACATAATGCATCCCCACCCTACCCCACTGATCATAATTTAGACATTTTGAAATCTACACTACCCCATGATCCTTCCATGGGCACAAATGTTTCAGGTTTTTTGGCCCAGTGGTTCCTGAGAAGAAGATTTTCAAAGATTTTCCTATACCGGTATATTTCTATGTAAAACTTTGATTCCCTATAATGGCCCCGCCCTTCCACCGGGGGTCATGATTCCTACAATTTAGAATCTACACTACCCCAGAATGCTTCCACATAAGCTTCACTTTTTCTGGCCCAGTGGTTCTTGAGAAGTAGATTTTCAAAGATTTTTCCTATATATTTCTATATAACACTTTGATTCCCCATTGTGGCCCCGCCCTTCCCCCGGGGGTCATTATTTGAACAATCTAGAATCTACATTATACCAGGATGCTTCCACATAACTTTCAGCTTTTCTGGCCGAGTGGTTCTTAAGAAGAAGATTTTCAAAGATTTTTCCTATATATTTCTATATAAAACTTTGATTCCCCATTGTGGCCCAACCCTTTCCCCGGGGTCATTATTTGAACAATTTAGAATCTACATTATACCAGGATGCCTCCACATAAGCTTCAGCTTTTGTGGCCCAGTGGTTCTTGAGGAGTAGATTTTCAAAGATTTTTCCTATATATTTCTATGTAAAACTTTGATTCCCCATTGTGGCCCCAGCCTTCCCCAGGGGGTCATGATTTGAACAATTTAGAATTTACACTACACCAGGATGCTTCCTCATAAGTTTCAGCTTTTCTGGCCGAGTGGTTCTTGAGAAGAAAATTTTCAAAGATTTTCCCTATATATTTCTATATAAAACTTTGATTCCCCATTGTGGCCCCACCCTTCCCCAGGGGGTCATGATTTGAACAATTTAGAATCTACACTACCCCAGGATGCTTCCACATAAGTTTCAGCTTTACTGGCCCAGTGGTTCTTGAGAAGAAGAGTTTTTAAAGACCCAACCCTATTTTTGTCTTTTCAAGATTATCTCCCCTTGCGAGGGGATATGTCCCTTCATTTTAAAAACTTAAATTTCCCTTCACCAAAGGATGCTTTGTACCAGGTTTGGTCAAAATTGGCCCAGTGGTTCTTGAGAAGAAATCGAAAATGTGAAAAGTTTACAGACGGACGGACGGACAGATAGACGGTCGGACGACAGACAAAATGTGATCAGAAAAGCTCACTTGAGCCTTCGGCTCAGGTGAGCTAAAAACAAGCTCAGTTGTCTAGCAGGAGAAGAAAGGAGCATAAACTTCTTTAAAAACGATAGATGAACTACACATGTACAATAGCTGTAGCATAAATTATTTAAAATTAGTGTAATATTATTGATGCAATAAATAGTTCTCTCAGAACATATTGCCATTTATATCAATATTTGTAGCTACACAGGGAAGGTGTAGACACTGTTTAAGAATAACAAACCTTAAAAATACTCTTTTCTAAAAAAGATTATTGTTATAAACTGTAGGGGGATCTTCTCAAAATTCAGAAACATATAACACATACTCAGTACATTTTTTCTAGTGGTAGACAAGACAGAATGAAATTGCCAAAATCTTTTTTATGAATTAAGCATGTCTCATTTAAAAAAAAATGTTCTTCCTCTCCTTTATTTGCCTTTTCCTGTTCTCACACTATCTCTTTCACTTCCTTTGCTTTGATCGGTGGCGGATCCAGTGATAGTCACACCCTTTACTTATCACTTACCTAAAGTTCCGGTAGCTGGCCCTCCAGAAAAAGTCTGTAATTGTCTGATTCATCAGACACAGAGAACTGTTGATAAAGTTCATATAAAGTCTTGCGATCTCGTAATGTTATAGAGACGTAGAGGGCGGAGTTTCTTTCCTTTGTGAGCTGGTGAATTACGTCATTTCCTTAAAAATTAATTGTATGCGTGTATATAATCACATAGTTAATTGTACAGGTGTATAAGTTTTGTAAAAATACATTAAATCGTTCATCAGCTAAACAAATCCTTTTCCGTAAAACATACGCAGATGCAAAAAAGTAAACATTGCTTAAGATATTGATATTAACAAATAATAATAAACATTCACCAATCCAGTAGGAGTCATTTGCGTTTCCAAATCCATCTCTGTATTCCGCCCACATTCTGTTGAAACTAGCAGATCCGCTCACCCGTTTTTGATTGCCTACAATTAATCAATAGAAAATAATTATCTTGAAGGCTGACCCTTTTTTTTTTAATTCTGTTTGTTAGACATTATTTAATTTATTTCAGAAACTTTAAAGATAAAGAAATCTTACAGTCCACCCTCCGCCTTCTGTCTCCATATCACAGTACACGTGTACCCGAGTCTCATTACTAAAGGGGTTTATACTGTATACACCAGATTGTTTATGACCTTGTAGAAAGTGATCCTTACAATCCTTGATTATTTTTGAATCTTAAAAAAGAAGGACATATAATAATTTAAAAAAAATATAGACATTGAGAGAGAGAGAGAGAGAGAGAGAGAGAGAGAGAGAGAGAGAGAGAGAGAGAGAGAGAGAGAGAGAGAGAGAGAGAGAGACCTTTAGTAACTGTTTCCAATGTTCTGTTGTTTAGAAGCTCGTAAATCTCTGCGATGTTTCTATTAAACTTCTGCTTAGCTTCTTCAATTTTGTTCTTACAATTTATTGCAATCTTCTTGATTTTTCTCCTCTGTTCTCTGTTTAAAGAATCAACTTGTGTTTGTAATGTTTCTACAATCTGCTGTAAAGAGTTGGTATTGTTTATTTCAACCTGTTTTTCCAAGTTTTCTATCTTCCGTATCAAAATCTGGTTCTGCCTACTAACAGTATTAACTTCCCTTTGTAATGTTTCTGCTTTCTCCGCTAAATTCTTATCCTGTGTTAAAAAATCGACCTGAACTTTCAATCCATTTAGTGTCTGCTGTAGGGAGGAGACCGTGGTTTCTGTTGACGTCATGCTTCGTTTCACATAGGTTACGTCATCCACAGCTGCCCTGACGTCATTGACAAGAGATACCCGGATGAGAGTCTCCTGGTTTATGAGCTGTCGCAGAACATCGATTTCCTTTACGTCCTGTTTATTGTTGTTCAAAGCCGTAGTGTTTTTATCGTTAGAACCGGTTAACAAGGAAGCCGTCCTGGCTTGGGTTATTGACATAAGGAACAGTACAAGAATGAAAAACATCATCTTTTCAATATTGGAGTGAGCTTACCATAAAAATAAGCAATGTTGTTTTATGTGAACAGATTTGTTACGGTATATATAGAGACAGCTGGGGATTTCCCCAATCAGATGACGTCTTATGTTGTGTAAAGAGATGTTTCTCGAGTTGTCAGA